GCTGTTACTGCTGTAATGGTTCGTAAACAATAGTCGACATCTAGGTACTGAATGATGATATGTTATACTGTCTTGGGGAAGTTGTCTCCATCTTATGAAAGTAATAGGTCAATAAAAAATATACAAATTAAAGGTAACGAAAGGTCTCTTTTATTAAAACGTAATATCCCCTGGTGCCACAGCGGTAAGTCTGTAGGCTTATACCGCTAAAATTCGAGTCTCGATACCCGTGGTAGGCAGATCACAATAGCCCATTGTGTAGATTCGTGCGTAATAATCTCGCGGTGTGTCAGCGGCAAGTTTGTAGACTTAGAACTATAGAAGTTGGGATTCGATTCCGCACACTGGACAGAGCACAGATTGAATATGTGTAGCTGTGCGTTAAAAGTATAAATGCAAAATGTTATAGGGTTTTTGCTAAATATTTAATTATAAATAGATGTGTTTATTAGTATTAAAATAAAAGCTATTTTATTAAGATATTGTTATGAAAATTGATCGACAAATCAGGAACGTTGATCTCTATGACAAAAGCAATTGTACACGAATAACACCTTCAACTTAAATATATAATATATATATATATACATAAACAGCTAATACTACATCTGTTCTTCTATATAGGAGAGGAAAAATGCTATGACGATCTCGGATGTTTCAGCAATGGTGGAAACTTTTATGACCCTATCAAACGTCCAATCGACGTTCTTCCTCAAAGTCGTGACGTCATTAACACGCGATTCATTCTGTACACCTCTAAAGACAAAAACAACTACGAAATATTAGACCCAACAGATAAAAACAGTATTTCTAACTCAGGGATCATTCCATCGGCAAACACTAAGATACTTATTCATGGCGTTACTCTACGTTTTAGTTCTGAAAGATGGCTAAAGGTAAGTTCCACGTAATTTTGATAAAATATATGAGATAAAACAATTATCTTTTTTTATTTTTCAGTGTATGCTACTGTTTATTACATGAGGTTGATTGTATAAGAATACCACCTGGCCATGCCGGACCTCATAGATAGTTAAATCTTGACGTTGTCCAGTAGTTAATGCGTAAAATTCTAATATCAATTGATGGTGAAATAATTCATATAAGGACGTTTCGAGCTCCCTAACCACCTGGACATGCCTGGCCGTAACTCATAATTTTGTGAAAGTTATTAAATTATCGTTGTTAGATTAAAGAATACGAACTTGTTAAGTTATGGGTGTTGTTTAATCTAATGGAGATAAAAGGGCAACTCTCTATATAAATCTTATTGTAAAATATATATTTTCCACCGAAAGTGGTTTATTGAAAGGGTTTATTTCAATATCCTGTTCAGTTACAAAATAGAATATTTTTACTTATGTAAGAAAAGAACAGCTGGTTTTTAATGAATTTTAGAAACTAATGTAGTTTTTAGAAACTGTCAATTCTTTATTTTGCCCAAATTGTATATATATATATTTAAATGTTTATTTTACTCAGTAACCATCTCTGTGCTAAAACATGTAAACATAATTATTTTACGTAATAAACTATACTTTTACTTTCTGCAGAAGATGAAGGATGAATATTTAAAACAAGGTGATTACAATATCATCTTAGTTGACTGGAGCAAAGGAAGCTGGTTTCCATACTACCAAGCTGTAGCGAATGCAAGACTTGTAGGAGCTGAGATAGCCCAGTTGATTAGTCGCTTACAGGTAAAATTAAAAAGATCAAAACATACAAAACAATCATCTGGATGTTATAAATGATAAACGTGCCTTTGATAAGACAGCTCAACTAGTTAATTGTTTTGACTTAGAAACAATATAAACTGAGGGATGGAAATAAACCTGTTTAAGAATGATAAAACTACTCTTAACAAGACAGCAATAACTGGTTAGTTGCTAAAAAGTAAAAGTAAAGGAAGATGAATTGTTTGTAAATTACTGTAACCAACACAACTGGTAAGCTGTTCTAATTGAGGTGAAGACTTTAAGAGAGCTACATAGCAGAAGGAATACTGTGTGTAAACAAGAACCTTTCTGATGATAGCCTATGAAAGCTTTATTAATAGTTATTTATTGTTAAGATAAGTGATGTGATAGGTTTGTTATGACAATGACCAAATGAATTCTTGTTTTTAAGTGGAGATAACACAGTCATTAAAAAAAACATCAGCTGTGTAACAAATGAAAACCAACAGCAATTTTAAAGTTATACTGTCGTTAAACATTTGTCTACTGTATAGAATTAGGGGTGAAGTATGGTTTAACACTGGCTGAACTTTGCCTACCAGTTAAAATTAACTAAGTTTGCAATATATCAGAAACACATAGCTAGAAAGTTAAACAACCAAGTACCACCATGTATGCATTATAACATGTATTTACTTACAGCCAAAATTTCCTCTTACAGATCAAAGTAAATGAAAAAAGTTACAAGGTCACTTGATTTCAAATCCAAGCCATTCTTTCAATTAAATTTATACTTGTAACAATTTCAATATGCTTGTGAATAATGCTACAACTTCCAAGTCGAAAAATTAAAATCAGTGGCAGCTTGCCAACAAAACAGAGAAAGTATATTACAAGAAATTTGTTGAAAGTTACGTGCACGTGCGGTCTAGGAAGTCCTAACCTGTTTAGTGTGATTTACTTTTAAGTTTTAAAATTATCCTGTTTCTGATGTTTTTCCATTCAAAACACAAGGTAATGCAATTGAAATTGTATTTTGGCTAATATCTCACTATTATTCACTTTTCTTGTTCCTAAAAAAAGCAAACAATCATCCATATTACCAAGGCATATTGGAATTAACAATTTTTCACACAAATTTCTTTCCTTAACCCAAAAGAAAAGGAAAGGTTTAAGAAATGTCTGAAATAAAATCCAAATAAAATAAACTCGTTTAGTTCAAGAGGATTTAATCGTTTCTAAATAATAAGTTGAATGAATCACTACAGGAAGTCAAAGGCATCTCTTTAGACAGTGTCCATCTCATTGGCCATAGTCTTGGAGCACAGGTGGCCGGCTATGCTGGGGAACGATTAAACAAAGTGAGAAGGATCACTGGTAAGTCCGATTTTCTGTTATAATAATTCCAAGAAACTTGGACATTAGAAAAGGCCTTAACAATTTGTCCTTGTAGATAAGAATATTATCGTAATAAAGACAGTGCAGGTCCACTAATTTCGTCTTTCAAATAAAAAAATAAATATAAAAATCACATTGTGACAGTTTTGTTTTAAGTGAGAATTGCTATCGGAGGAGGACTCTCAAATATATGATGAAATTATTAAAAACATAAGCTTTTGGTGTTCTGCAAATCAAAGATGTTTGCTTATAATAGTTAGTTTTACCCTACTCTTTAATGAATAGTTTTGAGTATGATTGAGAGATGAAAAATATGTTAATACAGTTAAAGAACCTTTAAGATTATTAGATTCCATTATTTCATTATTTTTAGAACATGAACTTTAATATTTGTGTTGAAGCATTTTATTCTTAACTGAATTATAAATTAGATGATCGAATATTTAGAGTAATAGAATAAATCTTTTAGCGAAACTATAATGAAGGCATTGAACTTTCAAGTTATATAATGTTCAAATTTGACTGTCTGTCCATCCTCCGTCTGCCTGTTTATCTATTTATCTAATATTGAATCTCTTTATCAATAGCTAATTTTTTTATGTCTTCTATCAATATCTGGTGCTTTATATATATATACGTATGCATTCGTTATAGAATATTTTTAAAATACCGATAGTTACAAACACAGTTTCTACGTATTCGAGTTTTTCACTGTGCTTACAGTCTTTCTTTATATGTCATCAACATTTTGTAGTTCAAAACACGAGCCATTTAATCCTTAGGACTAGATCCAGCTGGACCCTACTTCACAGGCACGCCTGAAAATATTCGTCTAGATCGGAGTGATGCGGAATTTGTTGATGTGATCCATACGGACAGCAGCAAGATATTGCTTTACGGTAAATACTGTAGTAATGCAGTTTAATTATGGGCGTTTTTTATGGCAGAACTAATTAGTTCAGTCAGTTGCTGAACATTTTATAATATTGAAAGCATAGTAGTTGAGCTACATTAAAAAAAATCAAAGCAACATTAGTGCACTTTGACGAAGAATATTTTAATATGCCTACAGAAAAAAAATAATGGATGTTCGATCTTTTTTTGTAATACATATCAAGTAACTGCTTTCCTCTACCATTACGTACATTACATCCTGCAACAGGAAATATGGAAACCTTGATATACGACTCAAAGTGTCAAATTTTACTATTTGAAAATCAAACGTTCACAAGTGATGTCGGCCCGGCATGGCCAGGTGGTTAAGGCACTCGACTCGCAATCTGAGGGTCGCGGGTTCGAATCCCCGTCCCACCAAACATGCTCGCTCTTCCAGCCGTGGGGGCGTTATAATATGACGGTCAATCCCACTATTCGTTGGTAAAAGAGTTGGCGGTGGGTGGTGATGACTAGCTGCCTTCACTCTAGTCTTACACTGCTAAATTAGGGACGGCTAGCGCAGATAGCCCTCGTGTAGCTTTGCGCGAAATTCAAAAACAAACAAACAAACACAAGTGATGTCCTTAATGTTACGAAAGCTAAACATTTTTGTGTTTTCTCACAGAAATATGTTCCGCATTCCTTACAATCTAATGTATTTAAACTGAGTATCTTTATTCAAGTTTATGCAATTTGTTTAGCATTTATCATGAATGGATTATTTTGTAATGTGTTCTCTTCCTTAGCATAAAAACATAATAATAATCTATTACTGTTGCTTTGACAATTGATATTGAAGTTACATGCCATTAATTAATAAGTGAACTGCATGTCGTATAATAACGTTATAATTGTATTAAGCTGAAAATAACAATTCTTGGGTGATGACTTTAAAAGAAGTAGGACGTTACAGTATAATTTACTATAAAAATGAAATTTTCTATATATAAAAAAATCATTCAATGCTGGCTCTTGGAAAGTTTAAAAAAGCTTGTTGGAAATATTTTCATACAAGGTAATAATCGGGAGGATAATTTCCCTTTGATGGAGTGTTTAGGTAGAGTATTCACGATGAGTAAACTAGAAATTTAAGGCAACTACCTGTTGTAAAAACACAAGTGTAGAGGACGACGTTTCGAAAGTCTTCCTTCTTCAGGTCAGTTTGTGTAATATGTTGTAGGTTTTTATAGTATCCTGGTGGATTGTGGAGGACGTGATTGGTTTGTTTATCCAATAGGATACTATAAAGACCTACAACATCTTACACTGACCTGAAGACGAGAGACGGAAGACTTTCGAAACGTTTTACTTGTGGTTTTACAACAGGTAGTTGCCGTCCATTCCAGTGTACTCAGGATAATTTTGGACGTTTATAAATATTTTAAAGTAGTTTACTTTGTTACCACTGCCACCGAAGGTGGACGGAGGTTGTTTTCACCTCTGTGTACATGTGTATTTGTCAGTAAGATTTCACTAAAACGGCTGAATGGATATGGATGAAAATTGGTATAGATTTGAACTATGACCCAACTTAGAAGTTATTAGTTTTGTTGGGTCAAGGTCGCAGCAAAGTCACGATTTTTCACACTATTTTTGCTTTATAACTCAGTCAAAAATAATCGAATTGTGATGAAAGTTGGTGGACATATGTAGAATATTATTATTCATTGCTCTGCCAATAATGGTCCTTGTCTGTTGATAAAGACGGACATACGGACAGATTTTCGTATTTTTTGAGGGCCAAATATGACGTACACACAGCAGATATCCCGACATGGCGTGATGCAGGTATGCACACAATGTGGGTATCCCTCTATTTTGTTTAAGTTTTCGTACAAAACAACAAAACGTCTATCTGCTCACCCGACCCTGATTTCGAAGACTAAAGGGAAGGTAGGTAATTAATGAAACTATATCTTCGGGTACTCTTATTTGACTGTTACTCTTATAACTCTCACACAGCCCAAATTGCGGATCGCACTTTCGCGGCAAGCGGGTGCGAACCACGAATGTTCGGATTCGTAGTCTGCATTTGCCAACTACTAGCCCAACTCGGCCTGTGAGTTGTTTCAGTTCAGTCAGATATCATGTACATTCGAAAAAAAAAAATTACTGGACATAAAATATAAATAAATAAGACGTTGACATAGAGAAATTTTATAGGACTGTAAGCATTTTCTGAACAAGATAACTTAATTTATTTTAGGTCTAAGCACAACTGAAGTTGTTGGCCATGTTGATTTTTTTCCCAACAAAGGAAACGAACAACCAGGGTGTTTATCTGGTCCATTGAAAACACTTTTTTCAGATGGTGTTGAGCAAGGTGAGTAAAGTACTTTTTTTTCGTGCCTGATTTTTATTGCTTTATACATATAACTATGTCCATGAAAAAGCACTATCTAAAAAACAACAACCTTTACTATGTAGGCATGTGTAAATAACTAACCAATAATAAATTCTGTATTAGATAAAGCTAATCGACGTCTTTTGCTTAAGCTGAGCTTAGCATCACTGAGTACTAGGTTTCTCTCAAACTAAAGGTTCGAATTAAATCGTGTTTAATCATTTTCAGATTTTCTGGTTAAAAATTCTGAATTAAGTCAATTGAAAATAAGATGTTTATCAAAGTTGTTTATATGAACTCGTAACATTTTATTGAATTTAATCAAAATAGTACAGTTAAAGAAGTAGCTTTTCAACTTAACAAAAAAAACTCTTAATCATTGTCTGGTTTTATAACAAAAATCTTTTTAAAAGGTAAAACAGACAAAATGAAATTTGTATTTTGATCGCAAAATCGCGTTCATTCTCTTATTTCATCATAATTTAAACATCTAAAAAATAATACACAGCTTTAAAACTTTTAAAAATGGAGCTGTAAACTAGATGTTAAAAAGAGTGTGTAGCAAGACATCGTAAACCTGTTATTTAAAATGATTTGGCCTTTTTAGGAACGTTACATTCATACACTCAATTCAACACTTAGGAAGGTTGTTTGCAATATATGGTAACAATTTCCATGTGTAATTTCCTCGTCCCTCGTCTCTATGCAAATGTCATCTAAACATGACCTCCTTCTGGGAGAGTGAAATCATTGCCGCAATTATAAAAGTATGCAAAATGTAAAATTTAAGTATATCAAAGAAAGCGGCATCTGTAGTGTAGAACCTTGAAGAAATATCACTTTTGTACAGATTGGGCGCAAGTAGAGCATACAGGTCATTGTACTTGTTTTTCCGCAAGATGCTCCTTTGGGTTTCTCAAATAATCCTTCGGAAATCATTATCCGAGCACGTTTAATGGGCTTTGAGAAGCAAGTAAAGAGAAGGGGTACAATATTGACCTCAGTGTATTGCACAAAAACCTCCTCCGGCGAAATTGCACAGAAGAACAATAGTCTATAATTATAGCCACCGTATTGTTATAAGAAAGGTCTTTAAGGCTAAAACAATTATCCTTATATTTTTACTATACATTGTGAACAATCCCTTTGTAAGCTAACAATATTCTGAATTTTATGTCTAGGATTTGAATTTTCACCATCCATATACCACATTGACGACATGACTTTATTTTTCTTTAATTTGTTTCCCTTCTATAGCTCTTCTTTCTTTAAGTGTAGACAAAATATACAAAAGGAAATACTTGTAATAAATGTGTTGGATCTTTCTTTTTTTAATAAAACGTTGTTGTTAAGTTCTATCTGAACAACGTGCTTAACCATATTCGATGACGAGGAATGACCTGAGGATGACAAAACCTTGTCGAAACGTTGTACATTTGCTGTTATGTTAAACTTATATTAAAGTTTTTCTTCATTTCCCATTCAAACCGTCTCCAAGTATTATTAGTATTTAATCATACTTGGGCTACAAAAGACCTTATTCATTTATATAGGTGTCAGAAGACTTCTTGGCTGTGATCATCTAAGAGCCATCGATTATTATCTTGAAGCTTTAAGAAATAAAAAATGTACACCAGTAGGGATTGCATGTGAGCGTTGGGATGATTTTATCAGAGGGAAATGTGCTGATTGTGGTGAAGATAATAGTAAATGTGTCAAGCTGGGACCCCAGGCAGAAGAGTATCTGAAATACAAAGATGACAACAAAAGTCAGAAGCTGTTTCTCAAGACAGCATCAAACGAGCCATTCTGTTGTATGTATGGTTTTGTTTGTTAGCTACTGAAACTTGATATGAAATTTAGTTGCTCAGTTGCTTATAATAGGTGCAAGTATACGTTTATCTATTCCAAGCATTCATTCACCTGAAACTAACCTTAAAATATTTGTTTTGTTCTTTTAAAGAAAGATATCTTATCCAGTTAAACATTAAACATTTGTATCAGTGTTACATGATCTAGCTAACATATAAACTACAAGTCTCCTATATGGTATGAAAAAAGAATGAGACTATCAGGACTGGTACCTGAGTTTGTGACTTGGATGTCTACTATTGCTTTTATTTCCAGGGTTTTCGAGTGCAATACAACATTTTTTTCTCAACATAAGATATGGATCATCTAATGGAATAGATTTTTACAAATAGTATAAATTTCCAAGGATGTTTAAAAATCCAATATTATGTGATACCATAAAATGCTTTCTCAAAACCAGCGTTAAAATATGCCAATTAAAAACAGTATTTAACTAATTTTAAATTGTACCATTAATAATGCTGTTGTTGACATGTCAAGTGCACCTACTTGACGAGCCATGCACACAAATTAATACGAAACATATACACAAAACTGATACTCAATATATTTTCTATTGCAGTGTTTCATTACTACGTGGAAGTCAACATTGCTAAACCAGCAAATAGCACTAGCCAGAGAGGTCTTCTACACGTTACAATAAAAGGTTCTGACGACAATCTGAAAATGCGCCTAAGTGACCGGTAGATTATCAATTTTGAGATGAATTATGGTTAATAAGTGCCCAAGCCTTTTGTTGGCATGTGTTTGTTTACATTCTGTTATTTTAAATTATTTAATAAATTGCTACCAAACATTATATATAAAGATAGATTATAACTTGAATGAAAGGTAATTTATAATTCTATGTCATAATTCGAGTCAAAATGAATCTGGGAAAGACTTCCTTTACAGAATTATGCTTTGAATCCACTCTATAGATTTTGACTTTATTTATTGTTAAAAGATTACTAATATGAAATACATCTAACGAGTACCATAAAATATATAGATAAAAACTAAATACAAGATTTTAAGATTTTAATCAAATAAAACACGAAACACTCGTGAAACGATGCACTGTAACGTTAATTTCTACTTTCGCCTAGCTTGGTTGTTATATTATATCATATGTTTCATTAATTTAGTTGAGGACATTATGAGGACTTTTTTTGTATGATTTTGGTTTCATCATTAAAAATGGGCACAGTGACTAAATTATGAAGAAAAACGACTTAGAAATTCATGTTTTGATAATTACGGAGTTCCTTCTTTTGGTGAAGTGTATTTTTATTATTATATATTTACTCCCCTGTCCCCCAGTGGCTCAGCGATAAGTCAGTCGCCTTACAACGCTAAAAATTATTACCTATCTATGCTTTTCAAATTATTAAAATAAACCAATATCAAAAGAGTTTGGTTTGTTTTGAATACCGCGCATGACTACACGAGGGCTATCTGCGCTAACAGTCCCTAATTTAGCAGTGACAAACCAGAGAGAAGGCAGCTATCAACACCACCCACCACCACCAATTCCTGGGCTACTCTTTCACTAATAAGTAGTGATGTTGATCGACACACTATAACGACCCCACGGTTGAAAGAGCGAATATGTTCGGTGACAGGGTTTCGAACCCGCCACCCTCAGATTGCGAGTTGAGCGCCTTATCCACCAGGGCATGCTAGGTCTAAAAGCAAACGAAAAACTTTGAAGAGCATAAGCACGTTAATCTGTGTATGGTGCTCCTAAAACCATTGTAATAATTTGGTTAAAAGAGCCATAAAGAAGAGGATTAAATACGGAAAACATAAGCATGACGTTCACGAAATTATTAATCTTATCTTAATTACATAGGACAGAAACAGGCTAATTTTTGTATTTTTTAATTATATTTTCTGCCTGCAAAAAAGACTTTAAAAATTATAAACAAGGATTTTGTCTTAATACTATCCAAAACAATAATAAATATAAAGAAAACCGTCTTAGAAACAAAACTGAAATAATAGAACACTCACATTAGTATACCACATACTCTATTATTGACTGTTTTGTTCTTTATAAAGTTAACGATTTTACAGTTATTCTATATACGCCCTCCCCCTACTCCCACTCTCACCACACAAATATATATACATCTGCCTATTCCCATTTATAAGAATAAAAATTTCCAGAGAGTTTGACTTTGTGGGTTGTATTTGTATTTACGTTTCTATAAGGGAAGAAAGAATGGACAATTAGAGTGAAGATATATGTAGTGCATAAACAAACTAGCTATAATTAGTTATGTGTATGTGCGCGAGAACATTTATACATATATAGATTTAAAAAAATAAAATAGGTATCTTACTTCACTGACACGAAAAATAGAGATAATGTCTACTACAATTAGAACACACATTTACATTTGTTTTAGGAATGGGAGTTTAAAACCAGGAAAGAAGTTAAAATATCTTGTTACCTCGAGAAGAAACGTTGGTTCGATAAATTCGTTACAAGCTCACTGGACTAAGCGTTCTGTGTCTATCTTAGACCCTGAATTCTGGCACAGTAGAAGAAGTAATGCTAGAAATGAGTTATTTCTTCGATCCATCAAAGTTAACCCTCTGAATGGAGTTTCTCGGCAGTAAGTAGTAAAAAAGTTATATCCCTTATTTTCGCTATCAATTTGAATCACTCACTTAAAATCTCCTGTTCTTTTATCTTGAATCTCATTTCAGTTTAGAATACAACGTCATTTTGCATGCATAACTGTCGTTGTTGGGACAAATATAACGAAGCAAATCTCATAAATAAAACACGCTTTTTGTGATAATTTTTGATATGAAAGTAATATGGAACATTTCCTGCTAAATAAGTATAATGTGCATAATTAAATCCTGTACAGTTGATTTAAACATTATAAATTATCAGTAAAACATTTCATAAGTTATGTGGCGTTACGAGTCATTAAGAGAACAAACAGTAAGATTGGAAATTATAAAAAAGAAAATAATATTATTTTATAAATCATACACAAAACTTAGTGTAACTTTTTTGTGCATATAATAAAGTGGTTAATAACTTATTCAAGTTTCTTCATAATTCATTTACTTGTTGTATGTTGCATATCTATTGTATAACTTTGTCATGGTTTCACATGTGTCTTCTAGAGGCCGCCAGTTGAAATATTCAGAGTTCTGTGGAAACCCAACTCAGGCAATAAAGCCCAAAGAGGAAGTGACTCTGTCGTTGTGTGACAGTGATCAATGATTTTTTGTATGAAAATAACCAGATTTTGTACTGTTATATTTAGAAGTAACATGCTTGATGAGAGGGGAAAATCTTTCCAGTAGAATCTGTTAAAGGTTATGTTGTTTTATGAATAAATTGTTGTACATAACACACTTGCGACATTTCTGTCTTCAGTTAACACCTGTTTTGCAAGTTTATACAAAGAATAAAACAAAATCACCAAGATAACATAATAAAGGCTTAGTTTACATTATATTACGTCTTATCAATCTTCTGTAAGTTCAGATATTGTAATCCCTGGATTAAGTTCAAGATTATTACGGCTAAGATATGTCAAAACTATTTTGGTGTATTTAGTGTAAAGTAAGAAAGCATGGGACAAATAATTAATTCCCAATTCTTCTTTTAAGATAATCTACAGTATTTTCTCATAATCAAAGTTTTTCTTCATTATATTTAACAATAATAAAATATTCACTTACAAAATAAAGAAATCAATAATATCAAAACAAAACAGTTTTTTATATCATGACACATTCCTTCCACCAATGTCTGATTGTTATATGAACAGGACTCTGGAAATGTGGGTAAGAAAAGAGGTAAAATACATAAATAACTGAAACTTGCTAGCCACTATAAGAATGCCAATCTACTAGGTACTTATCATGGAAATTCACTAGTAGAGACATGTTGCTTCCACCAGACTGCTTTTCAATGTAAGTTTAATACAAGCTAGCATGAGTATAAATCAACATGGAGCAGGTGTTACTTTCTGTCCAAAACTATAGACTCACAGTCTACATGATTATGCATTCTAATTGCACAATGTATACCCCCCCCCCCATTCGCACAGCGGTTTGGCTGTGGGCTTATAATGCTAGAAACCGGATTTTGCTACCCGTGGTGGTCAGAGCACAGATAGAACATTGTGTAGCTTTGTGCTTAACTACAAACAAACAAACAAACAAAAACACCATGTACTGAAACAAATGCTAAGAAAATATCCAGTAAGACTGTATGCTACAAGTTATTCCAGCCTGCATGACTGAAAATATTATATCATAACTAAATAAAACACACTGGGTAGACCAACTTTATATTTGGTATGCTCTGTAAACTACTTTCTTTAGATTTCGCCTTCAAAAGATAACTTCATATGCTCATGAATATTTTCATTTGATCCAGTTGAAAACATTACTATATTACTATAACTAAAACCATGTTTTCTCCTCTAATGTAGTGTGAGTTTAATCATTACTTTTATCTGGTCAATAAAAATCCACATGGTCTGCTCTGCAGATATTCCGTTACTACTCAGCAGTTTCTGCAAGATGTCATGCAATCGTCTCTCCTCTGAAAATTACTCTATGGCTCAGAAAGTAAGTGTCATTATGTCGCTTTGGTACCATTAATCTTGTGATCAACAAATTGTCTTAACTCTATAATAATTATGCACTGATCACGTAATGTAGTGCATAAATTTAACCAGAAAACACAATTTGATAGCTTAGAAAGTAAGGAACACCGCTTCCTATTAGTCATTGATCTTACAACCAAGTGAATGTCCTAACTGATAGTCAAACTTTTAATCCCAGTCATATCATTCACGAGATCCTAGTCAGTAGCTTAGCTGATCATCAGAGATATTACATAGATCCTCTGAGGGTGATTCCTCATCTTACACCTCTCAGACATCTTCCTGTTCATATTCTTGGTCAATATGATACAAAACTGAGCTCTTTCTATCCTCTGATACATCAGTCTCAACCTATGATTCCTGTTCTATGAGGGATATCTATCCAAAGAATGTGAGTTTAATTAAACAATTGATTTTTAAAGGTTATTTTCAAGATTATTACATCTCGGGAACGGGAATGCTGTGATTGAAAATATAACCTATACTGATGAAAATAATTTTAACTTTTAATATTAACAATGAACATCAATATTAATGTACTTCCTGATCTGTCTCGCAAGCTTGCTATGAATGAGTAGCTATAAATCTGAACAGTTGATCTAAGTGTTATATAGAGTTTGTGATTTTGCTTACATACATTGATGATAGCATATCTATATTGATACTTGTAATAGATTGTTAAACACATTTGTTAGAAACGTGAATAATCAGTTCATGGAATATTATTGATTAGAAAGTATACAAAAAAGTGTACACTAACTTAGATGTTCATATTGATCATTTCTGGATAAAACTTCAGAAATACAATATAATGAATATGCATTTAGTGTTTTGTATAATTATGTAAATTGAAAGAATCAATAAACTATGTTTATTGACTTTTAAATTATGTGAGATACAAAAGCTTAGTAAAAGGTTGTGATGAGATAGACTAAATATCCAATAGGTTTGAAGTGTTCTCATTGTTTGGAGATTACTTCTGTCGTTTACGTTTAAGGTTAATGACCTTCAGATAGAAACAGAATGAATGCCTATATACTATAAGTTTCAGTCAGCAAGATATATGCTCTCAACAAAACTATATACAGAAAGGTAAGAAACTGTTTAAGTAGATCTTTTAAGCTTTAGTGAAATAATTCAACTTATAAAGCTAATTACGAAATTATCATATATCATTTAGAGATTTATATAAGTGTCCTTTTCAGGACAAATAGATGAAATGAATAATAGAAATGAATCAGGGATATGTGTTTCACATATAAAAGTCGGGAAATACTAAAAAGTATGTCACGAAAATAAATGTAGAAGTGAAAGTATAATGAGTATGTTAAATGTGTACGAAATCGATAGTTAAAAACACTATTGGCTATACTAACTGTCTCATTCAACATTTATAAAACATCAGATGTGATGAAAACTGTTCAGGATGTATATCAACTGGCGAAGCAAACACTAAAGAACTAATTAACCAGTGAAATGTTTTATACATAAAGCAAGGGATAATTGTAAAAGGGGTTATAGTATAATATTTGCCTTATTCAAATAATAAATAAATTAAGATAGTAGATGTTTTAATAGTTGTATCATTGAAATAATGGTTTTACTTGTAGATGTTTAGGACATATAATTAAATCTAGACATTGATGACGTAATCACAAGTTAAATAGGTTGAGACACCCTATGATAAACTCATCATCCTATTGATTGTTTGGTTGTTTGCAGTCAAACATAAACCTACTCAATGGGGTACCTGTGCTCTGCTCACCACGGGTATGGAAACTGGAGGTCTAATCCTATTGAACTATCTGATTATAATAGCATCATCCGCCCTAGTAACACAATTTGCCAAGTAATACCATCCGCTTATGGAACCTTAGTAACACAATGCACCTAATAAACACTATCCGCTTTTGTAAAGCACGTGTAATACAGTTAAATATACAACTGAAAACTACAAATATAGGCTAAGACAAGCTGAAATCCTTATGCAGTCCTAGAGGACTATAGTAACACTATTTGCTTATGGAAACACCGTACGTCTATAGTAACAACATCCGCCTTTGTAAAACGTATGGAGTGCAATTAAATATATAAGCGAAAACGATAAAGTTGACGATAATGATAAGAACTAGATATATTAGATGTCAGATTTAATGTAAGTTTTACAAACAAAGCAAAACTGTAATTTTGAGAGAGATTAAAAACTATTCAGAACTGATAATTGTGAAACGTACAATATACAAGTTAGATGAATTATTAATTTTAAGACTTTGATTGTTATTGACATAATCACATGTTAAGACACCATATTATAAGCTCATCATCTTATTAAAACTGTTTGCCTATAGTAACATTATCTGCTCTAGCACCACAAACATTAGTAATAAAATCTGCCTATTAACACCATTTGCCTATAGAAAGACTATCTTTTGTAAGACTATCTGCCTATAATACTTTAGTAACAGCATTCGCCACCCGCATCGTGACAGCATCCGCCTATAACAGGGATTCCCAACCTTTTTGTTCCTCTGTACCCATTGGCCTTTGGTATTCTGACAGGTTCCCATGTACCCCTTGACCTTGGACATTCTGACAGGTTCCCATGTACCCCTAAAAATTAGGGATCAAAAATTGATAAAATTATATTGATTTTATATTATTTTATTATGACCAATGTTCTTCTGGTTGAATCTAAACTGCCTTCCGTTGATTGTTAGGAGCAAAATTCATCACAATCGCGCTCAATTCCAACAATGTTTTTCTGGTTCAATTTGTATACTCGTAGCTGGATGTCAACCTTAAAATTATTTGTAATATACGAGGCAAGACAAATCAATTTTTTTTATTATATATATTTTTGTGGATTTGAAAAATTTATAGAATGATGATTGAAATATATTTTATACAATTCATTAGACATAATAAAATCGTATACTGTTCACTGTAGACTATTTGGCAGTTCCCTTTTTTTCGTTATGTTGTGCAGTACATTGCATCACCGACGATGGTAGTATCCTTGGAAATGATACAACAAAAGAACCAAGCATGGTCTAGAAATTAGCATGTCGGGCTGCGTATCGAAAGGTCTAAGAGACAAGTTGCGATATGCGTGTAATTGCTAAACACACTCAGCACTTTTGACTTCCGGGGAGGGGGAATGATAAACGTGACAACCAATCTCTTTCTATTCGACTTTAAGTGACCATGTAGGCCAGACATTCCCAACCTGGGGTACATGTACCCCCAGGGGTTCATTTGCACTTCCCAGGGAGTACATAGTGGTCTGAGAGTATAACCATGGTTTACACTTTACATGGTGTTTTAATCTACAGTCAGACAAAGAGATCAAAGTGGCTCACATAAATAAATATACGCTGAGTTCAATTTATCGATGTTATCAATACTATAAGATCCTTATGCAGTCCACACATACAGATGTTGATTGTTGTTAGCAGCAAAATTCGTCACAATCGTGCTCAATTCCAACAATGTTCTTCTGGTTCAATTTAAACTGCCTTCCGTTGATTGTTAGCAGCAAAATTCGTCACAATCGTGCTCAATTCCAACAATATTCTTCTGGTTCAATCTAAACTGCCTTCCGTTGATTGTTAGCAGCAAAATTCGTCACAATCGTGCTCAATTCCAAGAAAGGCACAGACTGCAACGTCTTAAGTATTTTCGATGGAATATGTAGGTTACTTCAAACTCTGACGTCATCGCAGGCTGAGAGTGTAGCCATCTATAACTGCTCGATTATAGTTAGCGTAAATCGAAAACGACGGCGTTGATGGGTGTAGCGGATAAAATGGTTCGTGATGAGACTGCGGGGTCATTGTGGACAGAAGGCCAGAATTTCCTGCTATAGCAGCAAAGTCTGTTGCCAGTACCGTTGATAAAAGGGGTCGAGAAGCCGCTTGAAACTTCTCAATCTCTGTCTCCTTCAGTCGCTTCTCCTTAGCTCTCCTGTTCTGAAACCAGATCTTCACCTGGGTTTCTGTGAGGTTCATGGAGCTGGAAAACTCGGCCCGTTCGGCGATGGACAGATACTGCTTCGTTTGGAACATTTTTTCCAAGGCAAGTAACTGCTTCGTAGTAAAAGGGGTTCTGGGTTTTCGACTGCTCTTGTGACGTTTCAGGTAGCACGTGACCGGTGACGTTGTTGGTGTTGAGACTTGCGCCTTTGAATCTGAATAGGCGAAAAAAAAAGAGTCATTATCAGGATGTTTCTACCATTTTTCTCTGAATAATGAAGCAAAGTAACCGACAACTACCAAAAAATTATTAAATTTCGAACTCAATTGGCATTGAATCATAGAAAACAGACCAATGTTCTGGCGAGACATAAATCGTTGTTTGCCAACTTATTATTATATTAGCACAATGTGCTTTCCTTACTTACTAAAGTAGCAAGAAAGGTGTTGAGTGTTAAAAACAAGACGTCGAGAACTGATTTTATAAACAAAAGCACTGAGTAGAAGTGAAATACAAGGATGCAACACGGGATAATTAAACACGAAACTTCAGACTTAACGTTTCTCCCTCTGTACGGATTTACAAGACTCAAATCTGGGGTTCGATTTCCCGCGGTGGAAACAGCAGATACCTCAATGTGGCTTTGCTCAAAAAACACAAACAAATGAAGAATATCAGTCAAATAAATTTCCTGCGTTCAGATGTGACCTGTGTGGGGTGCCGGAGCGCCGCTCCTGTATTTTTTTATTGTTTTTGTGCTTTAACACAAGATCAAATATTTTATGGTGAAGAAATGCTATATAAACTACCCTTGTTATATCAGTTGCATTTTTTTATGACTCAAATATGCCAGTTGATTATGTAATATTAAACTAATAAGTGGTTTGTAATTATAAACAAATTAAATGCGTGAAAAGCAGCCTACATGGGCATTTACAATTCAAGGTTCGTACGTTTATAAGGATTTAGTTGGTCTTCCAGCAAAGCGGTTTTATTACTGCATCACTGTATATTATGTATATATATATATATATATCGATGGTTATTGTTACACAGTACAACGCTTTCATTTATATAGATGAGAAATGGTAAGCCTAAATTTCAAAATTTCATTGTAGAACACGACACATTTTAATGTCTATTATTGTAGCTTATACAAAGGTTTTCGTACGTTATGTTAACACGTCTTGGAAGCCTCATAGCGCCGTTACAATCAGTGTTGCCACGTTCGGTCATGCTCTATCTGACGACCGTGCATCTTGACAAAAGCCCTCTAACGTAGTGTTTATTGAAAAAGACATCTGCGTAAGGTTATGTCTAAAACACACCACTCCACCAAACATGCTTTCCATAATCCATCTAGTGTGCGAGTGCCCGATTCAACAATTAGATCAAATAGAAAGCCATAGGCAACTTAACCATTATGTCTTTGTATGGAATAGCACGAATGCCATTTTCATTCTCCAGTTGTTTGAAGTGTGCGATAGTTGAATGAGAGATATTAACAAAAGCCTTATCTTGGTGAACGCACACATACTTTATTGGCCTCATTTTCAGACGGAGATATTATTGATTATGTTGTTTGGGGTACTGGATGGCTTTTGTAACTGACCTTTGAGTTTGTGGATTTTCATTGTTATCAGACATCACACTTTGCTTATCAACGGCTAGAGTACGACTTCTTAGAGGTCTGTGATTGAAAGAATCTGGTACACCAAGTTGATCCATATTTCTTTGTAATTAAGTACAAGGTATGTTCCTCCGCTTGGAAATTTTAAATATATCATCTTAATACACACACACACACACACACACACACACACACACACATATATATATATATATATATATATAT